GCCGAAGTTGGATGCTTAACTGACTGAGCCACCCAGGTGCCCCCGAGACAAATATTAATGAGGAGGTGCTTCTTGACTTTCCTCTTCCTCCCTCAGCCTGCCGGGGTCCTGAGCCAGCCCCACGTAGCCCCCAGCCCCACCCCTGCCACCATGCTCCCACTTAAAGGTGGGGGGGTGATTCCAGCTTAGGGGACGGGGGGAGGCCAAGTTAGTGAACATAATGAAAGCAGGTGAAGGGAAAAGGAGAGGGAGGCCCCGGGGGCTCGAAGAGAGGAGGAGTTTTCCCAGACGTTTTGAGGAAAGAGCTAGCAAAGCCGTCATGAGGTTGGAGGGAGGTGAAGCAAAGAGGCGAGTGAAAGAAAGATTTCTGCCGACTCTTCTGTGAGACGGAAGGAGAATCTCTCGCGATCACTTTGGGCTGCTCAGAGCCTGAACCTAAGGGGTTTCTGGCTTCTGCGGGTCTCACGCTTTGCTTCTCTCCCGTTCTTTCTCCCCTCTGGTTCCCTCCACCCCCCAGGCACCGGCATGTCCCCTCCCCCCTCCGAAGGCCAAGGCGCTCTCCCTGCACAGTTGCCGAGGGCACAACTCTCAGTGCCTACCTCCGTCTTGCAGGTTGCTTCCTTCAATGACCCCGACTTCCTCAAGCAGCTGGAGATGGCCATAAAGTATGGGACCCCTTTCCTGTTCCACGACGTGGACGAGTACATCGATCCGGTGATCGATAACGTCTTAGAAAAGAATATCAAAGTCTCCCAAGGACGGCAGTTTATCATCCTGGGGGATAAGGAGGTGGATTACGACTCAAATTTCAGACTGTACCTAAACACCAAGCTGGCCAATCCCAGATACAGCCCGTCTGTGTTTGGGAAAGCCATGGTCATCAACTACACCGGTAAGGATGTACAGAACCTCAGTGGCGAATTAGGGTGGTTACCACGGAGACCACAACTGGGGACCAGAGTTTTCAGGGGACGCCGTTTCGTTAGGTGACCCCAGGTCATTCGCTCCTAGCCAGATCGCAACTGGTCGGTTCTTGGTGATGAAGGTTTGGGCGCCCCTAGGAAGGCAGCGGGGTACGTGTCTTGGGGCGTGCTGAGTCTGGACCACGGGCCCAGGTACCCACACCCGGAGTGGGGCGAGACCCTGTTGTGCTGGGGCCGGAAGTTACTCCGTGTGGTGCACTGAAGTACGCGGCATGATTTTGGATTTCTGCCCTTCCTCTTGGCTGAGTTCTGTCAGGGACCGAGTGCCGTTTCTCCCGTTTTCTCGGGTTGGCCTGCACCTGCGTAAATCGGTTAATCACGTTGGGTGTGCTTTCCACTCTGGCCCCCCAGTATTTATTTTGGGACCCCCCCCACACTCTTGTCCCCCACAGGGTGGGCAGCGTCTCCGTGTTGTTCTGACGGTTTTGACCCGTGGCTTTAGGGTGACGGCAGGGCCGAGTCCTCGAGTTCCCAAAGGGCTGGCTCAGACGCAGCCCCAGCCTGTCCCGGGCGAAAGCGCGCAGCAGGCGAGGAGACGGGGTGCCCCGCAGTGACGGCCCCCCTTCACTCCCCAGTCACACTGAAGGGGCTCGAGGACCAGCTGCTGAGCGTGCTGGTGGCTTATGAGAGGCGCGAGCTGGAGGAGCAGCGGGAGCACCTCATCCAGGAGACGAGTGAGAACAAGAACCTGCTGAAGGATCTGGAAGACTCCCTCCTTCGGGAACTGGCGACCTCCACGGGGAACATGCTGGACAACGTGGAGCTGGTGCAGACCCTGGAGGAGACGAAATCCAAAGCCATGGAGGTGCGAACTGCACGGCAAATGCACTGAGCCGGGGCCGGTGGGGGCGGGTGTGGTCCCGGACGCGCCTTCGGGAGCGCCAAAGGAGAAAATTGGATTCCATGATCTCAGGGCCTCATTCCCGGGTCTTAGAAGCTGAGGCGTTGGGGGAGGGTGGGGGAGGGGGGATCTCCACCTGTGCTGTCATCAGATTTGGGCTCCTAGTCACCTGAGGATTTGCGTGATGAGGACAGGTCACCTCTGCTGGGGTGTGCAATGGGGAGGGGAGCCCTAGACGTGTTCCCAGGGATCCTTGTGCATCAGGCCAGCCTCTTTCAGTTGACAGTGATAGAAAACCCAGCCCTACTTGGCCTAAGTCAAAAGGGAATTTATTAGCTTAGAAAACAAAGCCCAGGGATGGCTTCAGGCAGGCCTGGATCCAGGACTCCAAACATATCATTAGGACTCAGTTTCTTTCCATTTCTAGGCTGGGCCTTTTGTTGGGTTGGCTTCATTCTCTGCCTCCCCATGGGCCAAGCCCCCCTCATGGTTACAAGGTGGGTGTGGCCTCATGCCCCCTCAGGTTCGGGTCCAAAGGGAAGAGTGGGAGCCTTTACCTGTCCCTATCATGAAGGTTCCCCAGAGCCATTTAAGTCACGTCCCCACCCCAAACCGGTCCCACAGCCTGGTTTGTGGTGTGTGGACTGCTTGGGTCTGGGTTATATGCTCCTCTCCTGGCATTGGGGTGGACGCCACGTTTGGAATGAAAGGGGGACGATGGAGTCTCCAAGTTCAAGTCAGTACTGTTATTAGAAGAACAGGGCACGGGGCGCCTGGGCGGCTCAGTCGGTTGAGCGTCCGACTTCGGCTCAGGTCATGATCTTGTGGTTCGTGAGTTCAAGCCCCGTGTCAGGCTCTCTGCTGACAGCTCAGAGCCTGCTTCAGATCCCCTGCCCCTGCCTCTCTCTGCCCCTCCCCCACTTGTCTCTCTCTCAAAAATTTAAAAACAAAAAGAAGAGGAAGAGGGCACAGGTGCGGGGGCATCCAGCCACAGACGTCCAGGCAGGTGCTTTTCAAACCCCTGTGGGTGCTGCGTGGCTTTTCTTGCTGCACCCCCCCACCCTGCTCTCGGCATCCCTTATGCTTTTCTTAAGTTTGATTTATTTATTTTGAGAGAGAGAGAGAGAGAGAGAGAGAGAGAGAGAGAGAGAGCAGGGGAGGGGCAGAGAGAGAGGGGGAGAGAGAAGATCCCAAGCAGGCTCCGCATTGTCAGTGCAGAGCCCAATGCAGGGCTCGAACTCACTAACTGTGAGATCATGGCCTGAGCCGAAATCAGGAGTTGGACAGTCAACCGATGGAGGCACCCAGGCGCCCTGTGGATCCCTTACTTTCTTGCCCATTTCATAAGTCATCCTGGTTGTGGGTGTCCGTCTCCCTGTTTCCATGGTGATGCACATCTTTTCTTTAGGTGTCGGAGAAGCTCAAGCTGGCAGAGAAGACAGCCTTGGACATCGACAGGCTGCGGGACGGCTACCGGCCGGCCGCCAGGAGGGGGGCCATCCTGTTCTTCGTGCTGTCCGAGATGGCCCTCGTGAACGCCATGTACCAGTACTCCCTCATCGCCTTCCTGGACGTTTTTGGCTTGTCACTTAAGAAGTCGCTGCCCGATTCCATTCTCATGAAGCGACTAAAGAACATTATGGACACACTGACCTTCAACATCTATAACTACGGTTGCACAGGTGAGCACCTCTGCACTGATTAGGACAAATGCGCTCTGTGCGTGTGCACCTCTGGCGTCTGTGTGTGTGTCCAGATCCCTTCTGCTGAGGACGTGAGGCAGGTTGGATGGGACCCCATCCTCACGGCCTCCACTTAACTGCACCTCTTTATTTTTTTTTAATTTTTATGTTTTTTTTTTTTTTAAATTTCATTTTTGAGAGAGAGAGAGAACACGAACGGGGGAGGGGGAGAGAGAGAGGGAGACACAGAATCTGAGCTGTCAGCACAGAGCCTGATGTGGGGCTTGAACTCATGGACTGCGAGATCATGACCTGAGCTGAAGTCTGATGCTCAACGGCTTGAGCCACCCAGGCGCCCCTGACTGCACCTCTTTAAAGGCTCCATCTCCAAATATGGTCACATTCCAAGGCACTGGGGTTAGAACTTCAACATGTGGATTTAGCGGGGGGGTGGGGGGGCGATGCACAATTCAGCCCATAGCAGCTGGGCAGGAAAAAGGTTGAGGACTGTCGTTCCTCCAGGGCTTAAGTGGCCAATACCTGCAGCACACAGAAGAGTAGAATTCAAGTCCCTTCCCCAAGAACACATTTCTTCTGTTTTCACAAAGAAGAAGAACTTTCATATTGAGCATCCCCCTACCAATAGTAAAGAATCTGTGGATGGAATGTGCTTGCTCTGCAGCGGAGGGCTGGCAAACCGTGACCAGCAGGCCAGATCTGGCTCACTGCCCGCTTTTGTGAATAATGTGCTGTTGGAACATGGCTGTGCCCACTTACGCCTATACGGTCTGGGACCCCTTTCCTGCTGTAATGGCAGACGAATCGTTACTACACAGACCGTCTAGCCTGAAAAGTCAAAAATACTTCCTACCTAGCCTTTTGTAGGAAGCTTGCTAACACCTCTTCTAGACTGTAACAGACAAGAACTTGCACTTAGAGTTAGGCGAACGACCAGTTTTCCGTCGAGAAGGTGGCTCTGGACTTCTATCACACGGTTCCCCCGTTGCCCTGCGCTTCCCGGGCCGGTGTGGCAGGTGCCGCCGTAGATAGGGTCGTTGCGCACGCGCAGGAGCAAGCGCCATCGCAGGTGGCCCTTGGGCACCACCTGCGAGCTGAGCCCGTAGCGTCTACACTCGCACAGCCGTGGACACATACAGCAGAGAGGGCCAGATGCAGGTGCACTGCTCCCTTGTTTCATTCCATCTCTCTTACATTCGAGGCTGGTGTGCAAAACAAACTCCTTTTTTAAAGCAAATCGACTTTATCCGTACCCTCTGATGTTTCCCTCCAGGGCTGTTTGAGAGGCACAAGTTACTCTTTTCTTTCAATATGACGATCAAGATAGAGCAAGCGGAAGGCAGAGTCCCGCAGGAAGAATTAGACTTCTTCTTAAAAGGTGACAAATGTGTCCCCTTTTTCACTCTTCCCAACTCCCTTGGCCCACATTGCCCACGCACACATCTAAGTTCATTAACACAAACCACAATAATAACAAAAACTCTCCTTGGAACCTGGCTTCCACCAGCCCCGCTTTCCTAAATATTCCAGCCTCAGAAGGCTGCCTTGAGGCCGGCAGTCACGCTGAGCTGCCCGGCTGGGGTCCCGGGCCGAGGGGAGGCAAGCCAAGCACACCTCCTGCCTTGTCCAGTCCCCGCTGGAGACGAGGATTTTTCCCTGGAGCGGGAGGAGTGAAAGCACTGAGCTGCTCACTCTTCCCGGCATGTTACTGCCAGCCGCTTACTTCTCTTCTTCTGTCGTGATCAGGAAACGTTTCCCTGGAGAAAAGCCACCGGAAAAAGCCCTGTGCTTGGTTGTCTGACCAGGGATGGGAAGATATCATGCTCTTATCAGAAATGTTCTCGGACTCCTTTGGGAATCTTCCCGATGATGTTGAGAAACATCCCGCTGTCTGGCAGGAGGTGAGATCACGTTCTGTCTCTCCTCCTTCCCTTCCCTGCGAATCAGTCGTCTTGAGACCCAAACCATAGCCTCTTTGTGAGCAAGAAGAGACTCCTTTGTGGGACTCACTCAGAGTGTCGTTCTCACCCTCCATGGCGCTTGATTGAATTCTCCTTTATCTAGTTCAGCTAGCGTTGCGGGAGAACCATCCAACTGTCCTTCTGTCCGTCCACCCATCCGAGAAATAGGCACCTACCGTGGAGCACAATCCTTGACGGGCACTAAGGACTCAACAGCGAAAACGATTCAGTCTCTCCCTTCCTGAAGTTCTTAGTTTTGGAGCAGGAGGTAGAAAATGACAGAGCTGTCTAGAAGTGACCGGAGGTGCATGCTTCTAAAGATTTCATTCCTTTACAGTGGCTTTTGGGACCTTCACAGAAAAATGGAGGCTCTAGTGCTTCTGCTTTGACGCCACCACCCGTGTCTTTTGCTTTCCCCAGTGGTACGACCTGGACTCCCTCGAGCAGTTTCCATTCCCCTTGGGTTACGATAGCAGCATCACCCCTTTCCAGAAGTTGCTTATTTTGCGCTGCTTCCGCGTGGATCGGGTGTACCGGGCGGTGACTGACTATGTGACTCTAACCATGGGAGAGAAGTAAGTGCGTTGTTGTGTTTGCTCGGCCCTTCTGTGGGGTCCTCCCCCGCGCCCCTCCCCCCAGCCTGAACTCACAGACAGCAGCGATGGGCCGGCTTCCGAGGGAACTGCCACCGCCCTGTCATTGAGCGCTCTTCTGTGGTCACCCTCGGACCGCTCCGTTCAGGAGAAATACCAGGTGAGGCCCACGCGTGAAGTTTTCTAGGAGCCGCATTCAAAAAGGAACAGATAAAGGTAATTTTAATACCATTTTATTTGACCTGATATGTTAAAATATTAGCATTTTGACATGTAATTAATACGAATATTATCAAGATATTTTACATGATTTTTTTTTTTTTTGGTTTGTTTTTGGTATTAAGTCTTCAAAATCTTGTGTGAATTTACGCTTACAGCACCTCTCAGTTTGGACCGGCCACACTTGAAGTGCCCAATAGCCACACGTGCCTACCGGCTTCCATACTGGACGGCACAGCTCCAGAACCGAAGTCAGGCATATAATTTGGGGCTGCAAACCCAAACGTGCCTTCATGGCCGGCAGGTGATGGAAATGAGTGTGCCACGCTGGGTGGGGACTGTGGCAGCTCGGACAGGTCAAGTCCTGGTTCACAGGGGCAGCTGCCCCTTAGCTGGACCATCACCAGCTGACAAGGGGGGCCCAGAGTGGCTGGATCCTCTGACTCTTTGAAAGAAGCTAGAAATGTGGATTCCTACACGAAGTCTCCCAGGCCTGATGTGTTGGTAACTAATTTTCAAATCTTGAGAAGTGGGCCATTCAGGACATGCCTGTGGCGTTGTCGGTGTGGAGCCTTTGGGTCCTGTGCCGAGGGGACGTCCGCCTGGAAGGCCCCCCCCCCCCGTCAGGTGGCGCCCCCATGGATGTGCCTGGCTGTGCTAGGGGGACACAGCAGGGCCCGCGTCGCCCAGGGGTTCACCCTCTTGTGTGACATGTGCGTCAACATGGACTGTAACCTGGTGGGAGCTGTACCCAAAGAACAACCAGAAGGTTCTGGAGGCGGCGAGGCGAGCACGCCGTGGCTGTCCTCTGCGAGAGTCCCCACTTTGTTCCCTCTGCCAGGTACGTGCAGCCCCCGATGATCAGCTTCGAGGCCATCTTTGAGCAGAGCACTCCGACCTCGCCCATCGTGTTCATCCTCAGTCCCGGCTCTGACCCTGCCGGTGACCTTATGAAATTAGCCGAGCGCAGCGGTTTTGGAGGAAACCGCCTCAAATTCCTCGCCATGGGTCAAGGTCAAGAAAAGGTAATTAGTTGTTGGAAGGAATAAGCTCTAAATTTGGGTGAGGTCCCGGGGTGAGTGAGCTGGGCGCAGTTCCCGTCCCCTGAGCGGCAGGCGGGCAGTGGTGTGGTCCTGGAGCGGGCATGCTGTCACCGCCCGGCCTTGCTGGTCGCTGTGCTGCTCTGTTGCTTCCAGAGTCCCTTCACACGTAGTCGTCCTCTATTCCAGTCTCCGGACATCCCTGTTTTGGGTCAGGGTGGTCACTGCCCCCGCAGCATGGCCGCAGAGGCGGTCAGGGTGCCGGCCTCTGAGAACCTGGAGCTCTCGGGGCTGAGGGGGGCCGGCGGGTGCAACGTGCTGGCTCATCTTCCAGGTCGGGACCGGCCGTGTGGCTCAGGCGGCCCTGAGGGATCCTCAGAGATGGGTTCTTTGAGGGCAGCCCCCGTGGCTCCTGGGTCACTGGCTTCTTTGTGGCCTCTCCTGGAGTGGGCCCTCCTGGGGGCTCGGAGCGGGTTTCTGGGAGAGCACGGGCTCAGTGTGGCTTTGGGACACCAACTCCTCCCCCCTCTCTCTCTGTCGGTGCAGCTGGCCCTACAGCTACTGGAGACGGCGGTGGCCCGCGGGCAGTGGCTGATGCTGCAGAACTGTCATCTCCTGGTCCGCTGGCTGAAAGATCTGGAGAAGTCCCTGGAGAGGATCAGCAAACCCCACCCAGACTTCCGCCTGTGGCTCACCACAGACCCCACCAGGGGCTTCCCCATTGGGATTCTGCAGAAGTCTTTGAAGGTTTGGTTCAGGACAAACACCCGTCCCCACAGCCCTGTTCCTCAGATCGCTACCATTCTGCCGTCCGTGTGTGCGAGCGAGCGAGCGAGCGCGTGCTTGGAAGTAAACCTACAACGCAGCCAGACCTTCACGGCCACCCTTTCCAGTTCCGTCTTTCCCTCTCTCTTCAGAGACAAGCACTGTCCCGTACCGCGTGACAGTTCCGACTCTCAGGCCTGTCTTTACCACTTCCTTCTGCATGTATCCAAAATAATACCTAGGTTCGTTTTCCTGGACTTCACATTTATGAAACCTTCTTTTTCTCTTCGATGACAGGCCTGCCCTCAGCTGCACTTCTCTAGTGGTTTATACGCCCCATTTAACTTACTCCCCAGACAAGTTTTGTGTGGCAAGATTTTGTCATCTGTCACCTGGGGCAGATAGAGGGAAAACTTGGTGACGTCCGTTTTGCATCTGAAGCTCCCACGGGCTTCTTTCACTTCTCTGGGTCATCTGATGAGCGGGAGTCAGAACCACATCTAGTCCCTTATCTTCTTTGCCCGGGTCCTTATAAGAGGCTTTTGCTGCCTGGGGAGCAGGAGAGATGGCCACGCAGGGATGGAGGGAAAGCCCAGGTGTCTACATTTTGCGCCCTCTTCAAAGCTGGACTCGTGCGTCTGCGGTTTCCGTCACGATTTGTCTTCTCTTCTGACAGGTTGTTACGGAGCCACCCAACGGGCTGAAACTCAACATGAGAGCGACTTACTTCAAGATCTCTCCTGACATGCTGGAGCAGTGTCCGCACCCTGCTTTCAAGTCCCTGGTCTACGTGCTGGCGTTCTTCCACGCGGTGGTGCTGGAGAGGAGAAAGTTCGGGAAGATCGGGTGGAACGTGTACTATGACTTCAATGAGTCTGACTTCCAGGTTAGGACGCAGTGGCTGCTGCTTCTCCCAAGAAACTTCCTCCTCGGCCGGCCTGTGTCACCCCCACCCCTTCTCTGAATTGTGAACAGCCGCGGTGTTCCCGCCCACACTTGAGGAGAGGGTGAGAACGTGAGCGACTCTGTGGGCTGGAGCACAACCATACCTGTTCCTCGTCTTTTAAGGTCTGCATGGAGATTCTGAACACATACTTAACAAAAGCCTTCCAGCAACATGACCCTAGGATCCCGTGGGGCAGCCTCAAGTACCTGATTGGAGAGGTAGGAGTGTCTTGGGGGACCCATCGTGGACTGCCTCCAAGGGCTGGAGCTGGGCTGTGGCCTGGTGCCCTTATGAGTGACCTCTGAGACCTTGGTGACTCCCCTGTTGCTTCTGCTGCGTGTCAGCTGCAAGGTCTCTGTGGAATTCTGCTGGCTCATCACCCGATCGTCTTTCTCCTAAGTGGGCTCTGTCCACATGGAGGTTCCGGATTCATCATCCTGGGGGCCGTGTTCTCTGGGGGGTTGGCAGTTCCCCTCCTCGCCATGCCTTAGGCATGTCTTCGTAGCCTTGCTCCCGGTCGGTGGGCGTGGAGGGCTACCCTGGAGACCATGACTTTAGACAGGCCGGGTGGGAATGCCTTCCCCGTGGCCTGCGTGTGCTCACGCAGGGGCACCACCAATTCCCAAGGCCAAAGTGGTGGCTGGCTTCTTTGTTGTTTTGTTGTCTCTTCACTACGTTTTGGGGATTTTGCAAATGGCACACTGGCTTCCAGGACCCCACAAAGTTGCACAAGCCTCTTGTGCACAGTGGGCCAAAGGCATGTGATCAACATGGTTTGAGCTGCACAGCAGCCCGGCCAGCAGGAGTCCCCAACCCCCCCCCCCC